GCGTTTTCGGCTGGTTTTTCGCGATGGGTTTTACATCCCTTTCGGCCACATTTTAAAGGGTTTTTCTTTTCAAACTTTTTTCACACTTTTAACGGGGTCGGGGACTGGGTAAATTTAGACCCTCACGCAAGACGTTTCAGCACTTTTAAGCCCTTTTCCTCCCGCGATTCTCTCGTGGTTCCGCGCCGATCGTAAGTCTCGCAGCAACTGGTCGCCCTCTCCGAAATAGAACTTCAATGAAAACTTCTGCCTCAGCTGCTTGCAGTTTCAAGTGTTCCCGCCGGTATTGAATATCGTAGATTCTGGTCTTTGATCGCCGAGCCTATAAATCACATAAAGTGCTGCTGACGGACCCGTTGATTTTCGTCCATTTATTTTGAGCTCACCCCCAATAATAGGACTCGGCCGAAATGATTAAATTTGGTTGCCTTTTCCCTTTGAAAATCCTCCCTATATAGGCTCGCTCAGCTCAAGACTTTTGGCACTGTTGGCACACTGACTTTGACGATTCACTTCTTGATCGGTGGAAGGTTCAAATAGAAAATAACGCGGATGCCGCTTGCCGCTGGCGGCAAGTCCCTTAACAGCCAAAATGCCAAACGCTCTCAGCAGAAATCAACTGACATTTCGCCCTGTTGACCTATTACGCTTTCTCTTACCCCTAACCCTAGTTCGGCATCCACCCCACAGATGACGCCAGCTACGATCCGTTCCCACTTGACTTCCAGCGCTACAGAGTCTAGGAAGAGTTCCGTGTTTACGGGAGTTGATGATTGGCAGAAGGGCACTTATGTTTGAATCTCCTAACCCGACTCTAATAATTTTCATTTGGTCAATTCGGCTACTCCCTTTCTGAGTTAAATTAAAGAGTGTTGATGTGTGGATGTTATTAGTGTTTTGGTACCATAAGTTGTATTTATTTATTAAGGTTTCGTTTTCTTGCCTTAGTGGATTTTATAGAAATTTATTATATTTTCTTTGTGAGTATATATTAGTAGCTTTTTTGTTGCCTTTTTTCAAGTTTTGTCTGCGAGTTTGTTTCCTTTAATGTCTTAGTGTCCGGGGATCCATACAATTTTGATCTTGGGTTGATTTAATTGTAGTCGTGTTCTGACATGTGCGGGTATATCATAGCATAGCTTATTACCTAATTAATTCATAAAGAAAACTTGATAAATACACAGAAACAGCAAAATTTCAAAGTGCTGCCAATAATTAATAGAAAATACTCTCAAAAGGTATAATTGTTTGAAAAACGTAATATTTAGTTGAATTTGTATTATTTTCAATAATTTTCAATTTGATGTTTCCTTTTAACAGGAGTGTCTCTTCCTGTTGATGCGTCCAAAGATACGAGTCTTCTTGACACATTCATACCACACCCATCATTGATTTCCCTCATAATCTCTCGAGAGAATTTAAAAGGGTTCGCTTTGCTCTTCCGGACTATGAGCCTATCAGACGTGGAATCAGTTTTTCTTGGTTCTTTCTTACAAATTTTATTATCAGTCAAATATATTGGACTTAAACTCACTAATTTAAGTGCGTTGTACACCATCTTTCTGGAGCATTTCATTATTTCTGCTATTTCAGAGGGTTTTTCTTGATTCACTTAGTGTGAATATAACCTTCCTTTTTTCATCTGAGCAATGACTTCGACGACCCATTTTTGAAGGTTTTCGATCAATTTTATTAATTCGTTATAGACTTCTGCATGAACGTACTCATTTGTAGCATAAAATATCTGTATAGTAGTGTAGTCTTCCTAAAAATACTGCACTCATTCTTTACTGTACAATATACTCTATAGGCCAGAAGAAGATAGCACAACAATTTCAGTGTACTCACATCGAGTGAGTACTGTATATGGTTGTACTCTTCGTGAGTGAGTACTACATTTGTCCTTTTTTAAACACGCTTTACAGCTTGTGTGTCGGACTATGTACAATTGTGCAGATGAGTGCAGTCAAAAATTGACACCACTGAAGACATGGTAAATAAAATAATGTTCCTTCATTCCAATATTAATAACTTAAATAAATATAATAATTAATAAAGAATCTCTTTAATAACATAAAATAATTTTTATAAATAGTTTTAAATAAAATATTGATAATTTATAAATTCTTGATTTAATAATACATGAAAACACTAACCATACAACATATACCCTGGTCATTTCACACAACGAAAATGGACACAAAAATATTTTTACAGCAGGGCCCACAGGTGCCACGCCCCCTTTAACGCCCACAATCGCTAATATATACGATACGATTTTAAAAATTTAAATATTTCGGAAAAGTAAAAATGCCGTTTTATTGTGTTTATCAATACCTATCGAAATGTAGAAGAAATTTTTCAAATCGGACCATTCGTTAAAAAGTTATGCGTGATCAAAATTTCTATCTCCATCTCCCTCGCACTCCCTTTACCTGAGTAACGGGTATCTGATAGTCGGGGCACCCGACTATAGCGTTCTCTTTTGTTTTTATTCTTCCTTTTATGCTCGCGCGCTTATTGCACGAGTTCCGTCGTTCAGTCGCAGCCATGATACAATAACATAAGGTAGTCTCGTCGACAAAATTTGGTACCGCACTGTTATAACAATGAGTGCGAGTGAGATGGGAACTGTTTAGTAAGTGCGAGCAGAGCGACAATAGAATGTGTGGATTAACACTTAGATGTTTCAGAGGTATTTTTTTGCCTTTCATAATAAAAGGAGTTTAATTTTTTTTTATAATTTAATTTTTAATAATTTTGAATTTGAAATTAGGCGTTGTTTTTGTCTCTGAACACTGAGTCTTTTGTTAAGATTCTTAATTCTAAAATATATTCTAATCTTAAAATAAAACTTTTTTATGTCTAAACTTATTCTAATATTATCAGCAGCGATTATTAAAGTTTCTTTTACATTTTTAGTTATCTTAAAAGTATCGTTAATGTAGTGTACAAATATAAGTTCTAATTGTTTTATTTTTTCAACGAACTGGGCAGACGGTTTCATGAGTCCCCCGTAAGACACTTCATCTATATAAGTACTATTACATTTTACGCCATCGACGTGTTTGCGGCACACATTGCAAAATGTCATGTTGCTCAAGGGTTAATTTCGTAAAAAATTCGTCCGCAGACAACCTTTCCCTTCGAAAAACGAACACCATAGAGTAAGAAACTATATAGAGGTTTCATTTGCTCTGCATGGGCCTCTGCCAAAGCTCTGCTGAGCGCCATGTTCGAAGCTAAATTCTTCTAACTTCGGTTTCTCACCACTTCTAACATGTGCGAAGCACAAGCAATTGTATGAGGAATTCTCGCACCTATCCCTAGGAATAAGAGCGACCAGTGCAGCAATAAGAATTCACCATGGGCATCGATTCAAGCTCGATTCGAACAAATGAAAAACTATCTTTTTTTCCGTTTTTCCCCTACGTATAGTTTCTTACTCTATGCACGCACTGACGAAAACCCCAACGTTTAGACAGCCGACGAGACTACCTTATGTTATTGTATCATGGTCGCAGCATAGAGCAAGAATATATATAGAGGTTTCATTTGCTCTGCCCGAGCTCTCGAGTGACTTTGGAATCGAGTCCAGCGGTGAGTTTCTGCAGCTGCACTGGTTGCTCTTATTCCTAAGAATTGGTGCGAGAACTCCCCATACTATTGCTTGTGCCTCGCACATGTTGAGTGTGGTGAGAAACCGAAGTTAGCTTCGAACATGGCTCTCAGCAGAGCTTTGGCAGAGGTGCGTGCAGAGCAAATAAAACCTCTATATAGTTTCTTACTCTAAGCTCATACCCAAATATACTGTGCAGAAAAAAAGTGTGCCCATTTCTAGAATAAGTTATTCATTTGTCGTTTTGGATGCTTTCATGCAGAAGTATAATTCGTAACCGAAACTTAGAAAATTAAAGAAAGAATTCTGCGATAAACAACTTTTTACCCGCCGCTTCATTAAAATGTGCTATTTCTATGACCATGTAAAATAAGTGAACGCGAACGAAAATTAAGCATATGTAAATAAAAAGAGAAAAGTGATAAACCACAGCTGTATGTCTGATAAGTCTCTTAAAAACAATATAAGGTCATTTCACAATTTCACAGTTCCAAAAGTCACCAATGCGACATCATTGTTATTGGGCACATTGTATGTTTTGCATGCTTCTAAGGTCTACTTCATACGAAAAATGGCGTTTCATCCATCTTCCTAACGGGTTTCCCAACATTTTCTTTAACTCTTGCAATTATGGAAGCGAAAAAATGAAGAAAAATAGCCCCAGAAGTTCTTTAATAATGTTTTGTCGGAAGATTTTGGCATTCATTTGTATACCCTTGCAGAGGGTATTGTAATTTTAGTCAAAAGTTTTCAAGGCATTGATGGAGACACTTCCGACCCTACAAAGTATATATATTCCTGATCAGCTTCGCCGGGAGAATCGATTTAGCCATGTCCGTCTGTAAGTCCGCCCGTCTGACCGTCTGACCGTCCGTCTGTCTGTCCGTCCGTTTCTACGCAGTTTTAAAGCTATCTGCTTAAAACGTTCCCAAAAGTTGTCTTTCTATTGCAGGTAGTATATATGAAAGTCGGAACGAGTCGAATCGGGCGACTATATCAGCTCCCATAGGAGTATTTGGAAAAAAAAATTTTAAAAAATTATAACATTATTGTTTTTAATTTTTGGTTTTGTTTTTTTGGGATTTGGTAATATTAATTAAATTTAAATCGGACAACAATATCATATAGCTGCCATAGAAACGATGGAAAAATTGCGCGCAAAATCGACATAGCTTCATTGTTTTTAGTAATATAGGCATAGAAATCGAAATTTAGTCGATATGTAATAACTGCAAGGGAATATAAGCTTCGGCTTGCCGAAGTTTGCTTCCTTTCCTGATTTTTTATAAATTCAATTTTATTGTTTGCACGGTTTTTTTATTCTTTACGCCCTTAAAAAGGGCTAACTGGCTAAATTCTGGCTGAATCATTGCATGTTTGATTTGAGAAAAAAATATATATTTCGATTTTTGAAACGGTTAGTCAAACATTTTTAACTCATCCAGACGCTTTAGTGTACATTTCAAGCTCTCTAGGGTTTTAGTGTTTCCTTCAAACATGAGCTGGACCTTATGCCTGGCGAATGCCTCATTGTGGAAGTTTTTCAACGAGTTGTCCTCCGAATCTACTCCGATCATGCTCATCAGCGGGAAAAAGCCAAAGGCTACAAAAAAACCGTAGGCCTCGCGTTCCCGGATTTCATCCATGACGCCCTCATATTTGGGCAGCGGCTTGACCCATGGCAGGTGCTCTAGCTTGTCCACTAGAATCTTGTAGTATATGTCGATAAGCTCTTGCCGCCTGTCACGTAGAACGTCCAGCTCCAAGCTAGTGTTCAAAAAGTAGTTTATGTCAAAGCCCAAACTGCCGTGGAAACACAGCTGAAAATCAATCTGTATAAGGGATTATATCTGTATATATCTGTCAATCTGATATTCCAAAAAACTTATACTTACAATTTTTACCTCCTGCACGTTGTAGTGAACATCGTACTTGAAAAATATGTTGTTCACCCAAAGGTCGCCATGATTAAGGACATTATGCTGTCCGCAAAGCGGGTACACTGCCTTCAGGACGCGCTCTGTAAAGTGTTCATGGTAACGGTACAGCTTCGTGGTAATCGAACCAAACCCCTCACAATCACCCAATAGGGCGGCTAGCTTTAGGAGTTGGGTCCCAAAAAGAAGTTTGAAAGGCTCCGACTTAATGGCATCCATGTGCAGAAGGCCGAAGGGATATCGATCCACTATTGTCTTTGGTTCCCGGTCGGCCATCACCATAGTAAGGGCATGATACTCGGCCAACTTCCGCATGACCATAGACGCGTGTTCGAAGTCCAGTCCCAATTGACGGCATTTCAACTGGTATCCCTCGGAGCAAAGGTCCTCAAAGACGATGGTCTGCTCCGGTTGAGTGGTAGAATAGTAGTGCCTTTTAAAAGGAAATGACTTTTTGAGTGAAGCAATGTTATAATTTTGGATTCACGCACTTGGCAGCTAACGTCCAAGGACTGGAAGCATCTTGCGCTCCCCACATAAGCGCCTCCAACTTCGGCTTGATATTTGTATAGAAAATGGTCTCTTTGTTGTATATATTTAGGCGGGCCAGAATGGCCTGCTTCTCGTCCGGCAATGACTTAACAATTAACGACGTTTCCAGGACGCAGTTATTGGCATTGCGATACCTAATGATGGCTCGGTATATGTTGCTGCAGTAGTTCTCTCCGCCACGCGTCAGATTAATCAGCTGCACCCCGAGGACCTGCAGATTGATCTGCTGCAAACCATGCTCCAGAGTGCGCCTGAAGAACTGCGGAGTAAGATAAAGTGGAGGATTGTCCGCTGGGTCTGACATCATGATTCAATGTGCCATTGCCATTGTACTCATTGTCGTCTTTTTATGAAAAATCTCGGAGGGGTTGCCGATGTTTTCTGTTTTCTAATTGATCTTAATAAATAGTGCACTCAATAAATAGTGCACTTCTCAATTGACTTAATGGATGTGCATTTTCTACTGTGACAGAGGTCTAATGATGAAAGAACCTACGCGATTTGAAGATGTCCAAACGAAGCTGATCGTTAATTGATAAGATTGACAATTTTTATACCCTTGCAGAGGGTATTATAATTTTGGTCAAAAGTGTGCAACGCAGTGAAGGAGACATCTCCGACCCTATAAAGTATATATATTCTTGATCAGGATCACCTCCTGAGTTGATATAGCCATGTCCGTCTGTCCGTCTGTCCGTCTGTCCGTCTGTCTGTCCGTCTGTCTGTTTCTACGCGAACTAGTCTCTCAGTTTTAAAGATATCGAATTGAAACTTTGCACACACCCTTCTTTCCTTTGCACGCAGTATATAAGCCGGAACGGCCGGGATCGGCCGACTATATCCTATAGCTGCCATATAACTGATTGATCGGAAATGCCATAACTCTGCTGTTTGTTAAGTTAGGAAGTTGGGACTTTCTATGGGTTTTATATTTGGCCAATCAATCCGACGTACCAAATTTCATAAGGATCGGCCGACTATATCCTATAGCTGCTATATAACTGATTGATCGGAAATGCCATAACTTTGGTGTTTGTTAAGTTAGAAAGTTGGGATTCTCTATGGGTTTTATTTTTGCCCAATCAATCCGACTTATCAAATTTCATAAGGATCGGCCGACTATATCCTATAGCTATAGGATATAGGACATGAGCTGTTAAGTTAGAAAGTTGTTAAGTTAGAAAGTTGGGATTCTCTATGGGTTTTATTTTTGCCCAATCAATCCGACTTATCAAATTTCATAAGGATCGGCCGACTATATCCTATAGCTGCCATATAACTGATTGATCGGAAATGAAATAACTTTGGTGTTTGTAAAGTTAGAAAGTTGGGATTTCCTATGGGTTTTATTTTTGGCCAATTAATCCGACCTACCAAATTTCATATAGATCGGCCGACTATATCCTGTAACTGCCATATAACTGAACGATTGGAAATGCCATAACTTTGGTGTTTTTAAAGTTAGGAAGGTGGGATTTTTTATAAGTATTAAGAATGCATCATATGAATAGTTTTAAAGAATATAATTTGCAGAATATTCTGCAAGGGTATTTCAACTTCGGCTCCGCCCGAAGTTAGCTTTCCTTTCTTGTTAAATATGAAATATATAAATGTAAGCCATAAGAATTGTATTGATTTTAATGTCCCAACCAGAAACCAATAACGTAAGATATACGCATAAAGTTCTAGATGTTTTTTACAATTGAAAAACTTTTGAATTTTATAAATATTAACAAAATGGCTTTATATTCCAGAACATTTTTGTTATAGCTGGTTACCAAAGTTGCCTTTCTTTCTTGTTTATAATAAAACAATGGGTTTTATGAATTTAATTTTTAAGCAGGGCTCCAAACTTACTCCAAACTTACTTACTATCAAAAAGTTTAAAATAATTCAAAAGAAAATATAAAATATTTAAGAATTGTAAGAGCTGCAGGGGTATAGAAAAGTTGGCTTGCTGAATTTCTTCGTTCTTTGGAACAATCGTTCACTAGTTCAACTGAAAAGTTATGTGAACAGTGCACCCGCACACGACTAAGCTTTCTTGGGAAAAAGTAATGGGAAAAATATGGTCGGCTGTCAGCTGGCTATAAAAAGAGCGTAAGTTTAAGTTATTTTGATTGTAGTCAGTCTTTCTCTATTATAAATTTGGTCAGTGCAATTATTCCGACACTGGAGTAGCTTGTAGATTTATCTTCAAAACTCTTAAAATATATTTCTTCACAATCAATTGTTGAAATAACATTACATACTTATATTAGCTTATCAATTCTGGTAGCTAAAACTTTATAGGCTTATTACACCCAAAAAACATGTTTTTTTAAGCATAAACTTATTTAAAATAATCTTGCTAATTTAATAGCTATCTTCGGGCGGAGCCGAAGTTGATATACCCTTGCAGAATATTCTGTAAATTATTTTTATACCCTTGCAGAGGGTATTATAATTTTGGTCAAAAGTGTGCAACGCAGTGAAGGAGACATCTCCGACCCTATAAAGTATATATATTCTTGATCAGGATCACCTCCTGAGTTGATATAGCCATGTCCGTCTGTCCGTCTGTCCGTCTGTCTGTCCGTCTGTCTGTTTCTACGCGAACTAGTCTCTCAGTTTTAAAGATATCGAATTCAAACTTTGCACACACCCTTCTTTCCTTTGCACGCAGTATATAAGTCGGAACGGCCGGGATCGGCCGGCTATATCCTATAGCTGCCATATAACTGATTGATCGGAAATGCCATAACTTTGGTGTTTGTCAAGTTAGGAAGTTGGGATTTTCTATGGGTTTTATATTTGGCCAATCAATCCGACATACCAAATTTCATAAGGATCGGCCGACTATATCCTATAGCTGCCATATAACTGAACGATTGGAAATGCCATAACTTTGGTGTTTTTAAAGTTAGGAAGTTGGGATTTTTTATGAGTATTAAGAATGCATCATATGAATAATTTTGGAGAATATAATTTACAGAGTATTCTGCAAGGGTATATCAACTTCGGCTCCGCCCGAAGTTAGCTTTCCTTTCTTGTCTCCAAAATTATTCGTACGATGCATTCTTAATACTCATAACTAAATAACTTCCTAACTTTATAAACACCAAAGTTATATGGCGGCTGTAGGATATAGTCGGCCGATAGGTAGGATTGATTGGCCAAATATAAAACCTAGCTTCCTAACTTTAAAAACACCAAAGTTGTGGCATTTTCAATCGTTCAGTTATATGACAGCTATAGGATATAGTCGGCCGATCCTTAAAAAATTTGGTAGGTCGGATTGATTGGCCGAAAATAAAACCTATAGAAAATCCCAACTTCCTAACTTTACAAACATCAAAGTTATGGCATTTCCGCTCAATCAGTTATATGGCGTTGTACTCTTCGTGAATGAGTACTACATTTGTCCTTTTGCAGATGAGTGCAGTCAAAAATTGACACCACTGAAGACATGGTAAATAAAATAATGTTCCTTCATTCCAATATTAATAACTTAAATATAGATTCTTTAATAACATAAAATAATTTTTATAAATAGTTTTAAATAAAATATTAATAATTTATAAATTCTGGATTTAATAAATACATGAAACCACCATAGACTAAGAATCTATATAGAGGTTTCATTTGCTCTGCCCGCGCTCTCGAGTGACTTTGCCAGTGATGCCACGTAGGGGAAAAACGGAAAAAAAGAGAGAGTTATTCATTTGTTCCAGGGCTTACTGCACCCTCAGGTCAGTATGTGTAGCTTGTGGAAACTGCCACGGCTCCGAACCCTGCCCTGCCAACAAGGAAGACTCTCTCACTAAAAAGTGTGTAAACTGCCAAGGAAACCACACAGCTAACTACAGAGGCTGTCCAGTCTACAAGGCGATGAAAAGTCGGATGCAACGAGCAACAACGGCACGCTCCCTGAACACACAAAACACTTACATGAGATCACAAACGACACCGGAAGTTTTCTTCGCAAAAGCAGCCAGATCATCATTTGGCCCTTCAATTACCACCAACGGAATTTCTTACGCCAGTGCTCTAAGATCAGGCACAGCTCACATAGAGCCGAAAGTTGATAACATCCAGCAGGCCATGGGACAGCCACAAAGTAACATGGAATCTATGATGATTACTTTGCAACAAAATATGATGGAATTTATGTCCTTCATGAAAACCACCATGCAAACCCTTATGCAAAACCAAAATATCTTACTTCAAATGCTTGCAGCTCAGCAGTCCAAATAAACCATGCCTAGCCTTCGAATAACTCTGTGGAACGCCAACGGTGTTTCACGGCATAAACCTGAAATAACTCAATTTCTGAACGAAAACCACATCGACGTTATGTTGCTGGCAGAAACGCATCTCACCAGCAAATATAACTTTCAAATACGGGGATACACGTTCTATGGCACAGATCATCCAGATGGTAAAGCGCATGGCGGCACTGGAATCTTAATAAGAGACCGCGTCAAACACCACTTTCACCAACGGTTTGCTAAAAATCATCTGCAAGCTACATCGATAAAATTACAGTTGGGCAACTGCAACCTTGCCATTGCCGCTGTCTACTGCCCACCCCGCTTTACAGTCTCCGAAGACCAATTCATGGACTTCTACAATTCGCTTGGAGAGCGATTCATAGCAGCAGGAGATTACAACGCCAAGCACACGCACTGGGGATCCCGCCTTGTGACCCCCAAAGGAAGGCAACTATATAATGCACTCATTAAAACATGCAACAAACTGGACTACGTTTCACCAGGCAGCCCTACATACTGGCCTACAGATCCTAGAAAACTACCTGATTTAATTGATTTTGCTGTGACAAAAAACATCTCTCGCAATTTAATATCTGCAAAATCGCTTTTGGATCTATCATCGGACCACTCACCAGTGCTAATAACTCTTCATCAAAGCCCTGAATTAATCGAGCACCCTCACAGGCTGACGTCGCATCGAACCAACTGGCTGAAGTTCAAAAAGTACGTAAGTTCCCACATTGAACTAACTCCACAGCTCAACATCAAGGAGGACATCGACTGCTACGCCGATGCCCTGGAGTCTGTACTCGTCGCAGCAGCCAAAGTCTCAACACCGCAAGGGAGGGATGGGCACACACACCAACACAAAACTAACCATGAAATCGAACAGCTTGTTCTGGAGAAAAGACGTTTGAGACGTACTTGGCAAACCAGCAGATCGCCATCCTCAAAACAAAGTCTTAAAGAAGCTGGTCGCAGACTTACCAGGGCTCTAAGGCAAGAAGAAGAAAAAGCACAACGCCAGTACATTGAGAAACTTTCACCCACC